ATCTATCTATCTATCTATCTATCTATCTATCTATCTATCTATATATCTATCTATCTATCTATCTATCTATCTATCTATCTATCTATATCTACATAAAACCTTTTATATTTAGGTAATGCAGTCAGAAGATGTAAACCAATATGCACGAGTGAACTTTATTTAAAAAGAAAATCAAAGCAAAGAAAAAATGCAGATGTAGATCCGGTGTTACACACTGCAACTCTGACAGAATGCTGACCAGAGCTGAACCGTTTCTCTTTTGCCATTTTTCAGGGAGACATGCTGCTTGCAGAGCTTCTAACTCTAGTTTGAGGAGTAAATGTGTTAGCCTGTTTCTTTTAGGGAGCTCAATACACATTGTTTATTAATAAACTCATTTATTTTTGCTGCATCCTGTCTGCAGTTTTATTTATCCCAAAACATATTTCCTCACCTCCTAGACACCATCTGGAACGCAACAAGTGGGGGCTCGTCCGGGTTCCTTGAATTAGAAGATTATTAGCTTTAGCTGTGGTTTGTGAAGGGCTAAATAGTCCAGTTTTCGCAACTTTGTTTCCAAAAGATTTGAGCATTATAGTGTAACACTGAGCTGGAAACCACAGCTGCTGAACATTTTGTTGTCTGAAGATTATGTTTCTTTGCCTGATGTCGGGGAAACATCCAGAGTTGCTGTAGAGGGTGGAGGTCAGTCGGTGGCGGGCTGAGAGTCAAACTCCTGAGAGAGCAGGATAAACCGATTACTTTGCCACTTTACCATCTGTTCTCTGTGGCGTCATCAGTTATTCCTCGGATAAATGCACAGTTAGTTAACCTTGTTTTGTTTTGTAGTTGGACCTTGTTTTAGTGATCCGTGAGGCAGAAGTTGCTAGATATTTTAGCATTTCTGAACAAATAGTAACTGCATTGAACTGGCCACAGGATTTCTGGGTTGCACTTTTACAATGTAAGCTAACAGGAAAGGCTCAAGAATGTTGTGCCTCACTATCTGTTAGGAATATTGTGCAGCAAATTGAAAGCTGCTATTTTGGGTTGGTACCAGAGACTTGCAGGCAGCGTTTTTGCCACTTAAGTAGGGACCAAGACCAAACCACGTTGAAAGAAGCTTGTATTTTGATGCTGGCTGTCATCATGTCAAGTTAAAGATGCTGATCCCTGCCTGGAGTTGATGTTATTGGAGTATTTAATAATTTCATGTCTGGATGAATTGGAAAAAAGGAGCCACTTCCAAAGAAGCAGCGATTCTTGCAGATGATTCTGCCCTGACTCATGAAATTACCCTGAGTAGACATGATTTCACTGCTCATCCAAATAAAGTTAGCAGTGAGATGGCTTCTTATTCTTCTCCTTCTTCTTCGTGTTTTAAGAAAGTCTGAGGAAACATATTTCCTGAGTGTGAAACCAGATCATTTCCCAGGTTCTAATGGGAACAGAACAGTGAGTAAACTGGATGATGTTTTCAAATAGCTTGTTTTTGAAGGGCTGATTTCTCTCACAGGACCCGCACTTGACTCATGTACTGTGGGACTATGGGAGTTTCCAGGCCAACAGAAGTGGCTCTTTTGCTCACTTACATGTTAAATGATGAAATATTGCCCTGATTTTTGTTTCATTGTTTTTAATTGGTCTGTAGGCAGAAATGTATTCACATATATGTATATTTATTATAATTGATGCCGATAACATGTTTGCATACACCTCAGAAAGTACGTAGTTGCTCTCCTGGGTTTAGCCACAGCTGGAGAGGAGTCAACATCTTGGCCCACAGCCTTTCGGGTCTCATGGAGGAATCCCACATGCAAAGCAGCGTCTTCTTTTGACCGGCTGTGATCTCTGTTTTCCTCTGCTGTTTGACTCATTTCTATCTAAACTTTTTGCTTGAATAAAAATAAATTTGCTCAGTGAATAATTTTAGCTGTATTTATTGATTGGGATCATCTTGAATTTCCCTCATTTTCTGTTGGATTTGAAGGACTTGAGTCATTGAAACCTTCTGCAGATGTTGCTTTGTGTTTCCCGTGCAAAAATAACAAACATTAAAATCCATCAAAGTCTGAATCATTTTGTCTGCCCTCAAGGAAAACCAGAAATATATTTCATCTGGGAAATGCCTGATGTGTGCATTTAACTCTAACTATTGGGCAAATCCTACCAGTTTTTAAATTTTATGAATGTTCCAGTCCATGTCACAACAATTTATGTCCAAACACAACTGTAAAATTGTTTGTGTGCTGTTTATTGGCCCTTCAAACATGTCTGGCCTGCAACGGTACAGATGATGTTTTTTAAAACTCTGCTCTCAGTTTGCGCATGCTTTGCCGTCATGCTTTCAGGTTTTTTGCTGTTAATGGCCAAAATGTTCTGTGTTATCTTTAATTTGGAGCACAGATCTGCTATTTTATACCAGCAGAGAGAAGATCTGATTTATTGCAAGCCAAACCGAAATGCTTTTCTCTAAGAGCTTGTGTCAACATGGAATGGCGGACTTGATGCAATGCCATTTGAGCGTTTTGTTGAGTTTTATCTGTCTACAGATAATGGTTTCCATGCTGTCCCAGGTTCTTCTGATTTAAGGTTGCATGGGAAGGAAACACACAACTGTTTCTGAACTGCTTCTAAAAGAAATATTTAGTATCTGAAGTTGTCAGTCACACTTGTGCATTAGAGAAATTTTAACCAAAAGTCCAAAATTCCTTTTTTTCTTATGTGTTGCATAATTATTCCACTGCTATCCATAAATCATTAAAAGCCTCAAATTAACATGATGATATTCACACTTTGGATGAGTTTATGTAAATGTAAAACCTGAGCAAAAAGTCAAAAACAGACGGATTCATATGTAAACAGATAAAAATTCACCATTTTAGTCATTAACTATATGGATGTTTGAAGCATATGATGTCCAGATGTAGCTTTGATTAGAGCTGATAAAATACAATTTTAAGCAAGGTTATCAACGAAAGGAATTTTCTCTTACACTTGTTACATCTGCTTTGTATATAATGTAAAATGTTTTAAGAAATATACTCATCCATAGAGGTAAAACGTGTGTGAAAACCTGTTTACTGTTATCACACTGAGAGGAAGCAGATTCCAGATGATCTGCATCTGATCTGCTTGTTGCCCAATCACTGCAGTTTTCTAGGAACTTTTACAAAAACATTTCATCCTTGGACCTTGACACCTTTCGCTGTGTATCATCTTGAACTTGGAGCAGCGCTCTTTATTTTTCATTTCAGCCTTCACTCGTGGAACCCGTCAGGACATCAGCTCGACAGATCCCAGCTTCACCATGAGGAGGAAGATGGAGCATTTGAGAGAGGAAATGGAGCAGATTGGCCTTCTACGGCAGGTCAGACGCTTCCCAGCCTGTTTATGTTTTTCTAGTTTTCACCAGTCGATGAGTCATACGAGGAGTACAGTCTGCCAGATCCTGTTTGTGTTGCAACGCCTAGAGTTTCCGAAGAATAAACCGAGTTTACGCTGGTTTTTCTTAATTGAACTGGAGGAAATGTACACTCAAACAGGATCTAATAGATTTTCTATAACTCTGTGGAACAAATACTTTAGAAATTGAATGTGAGTATGATCAGCGGTGCACTAGTTTAGCGAGGTGACTAAGAGGAATG